AACTTTTGGAGCATCACTTTCTTTTTACTTTACTTAAAATTAAGTTTTTCTTATTAAAAAAAAGGTTTTCCCAACTCGTCAATAATGCAACACCCTTAACTCGTCAGTATGCCATCATGGGAAGAAGTCACCATTTTCATTAAAACAAGCTGTCTCTCTTGTTCAAAAGATAAAATTAAAGTAAGTATTCCGCTAAATGCGCAATGCTTGGATAAAAAATGCATGAAAATCTCACAGTTAATAATATAATCACAATCTTAAATGTATGAAGGGAATAAACTACAACAGCACATCTCAAAATCGATTTTTGGGATGTGCTGTTAAAACAATATTTGTGCACAAGGTACGTATTTTCCTTAAAACTAAAGTAAAGTCAGTATAGCCATCTAGGTCTAATCACTTTTTCACAAAAACCAATTTTTATGGAAATAAGAAATATGACAACAACAACAACAACAACAACAACAACAACAACAACAACAACAACAACAACAACAACAACAACAAACCATTTATTTTCCATTTTAAAATCATTTTTACAATAATGAGGTAAATAATAATAACAATAATTATAAAATAATAAGCAATAATAATAATTTATAACAATAATAATAATAATAACAAAAAAAAAAAAAAATTATTAATAATAATTACTATAATAATAAGTAAAATGATATGTTATTTCTTATTATAATAAGTTAATGATTAGTATGGATGGTGTCACTCATACAGAAGTCTAATCAAAGGAGTGACACCATTTTTCAAAATAATATGACTCATAATAAACATATAAACATAAAACATAAAACATAGACACACATTAAGTAAACTTTTTAAAAATCATATATGTAGGTAATAATAAAAGAGGAAAGAAAAACAATCAAAAAATAAGGTTAATTATTATAGTAATAAAAAAAAACTATAAAAAAATACTCTTCAGAATTTTTTTAAATTGATTTTGATTAAGATTAAGAAAAGATGACAATGCACACAAGGCTCTTGTTCCATTCACAGATGCACTGATACACAACAGAATTCTTACCATACTTTTGAGTTTTATATGATGGTACAATAAGTTTTCCATTATTTATATTTCGTTTATATTTATATTTATATTTCATCATAGGCGCTATGCCATCATAGGTGCCTTTCTTCTAATAGTTTTATTAATAACAACATAAATAACAAGAAAATAATTTAATAATAATGTCAAGAAAGAAATAAAATCTTTTTCAAATTTTTTTAATTGATTATGTATAATATGAAAAAAAAAAGGATAAAGGTGTTTGAAGTTGTATTTTAAACATCTTTATAAAGTCTTAAAATGTTAGATGTTTCATTTCTTCATTCTTGGAATGTTTGACCAAGAAACTGCAAGAAAAATGGTATACTCTAGCAGTTACATCATAAAAATTTTTGTTTAAAGCATCAATATTGCTTGGCTTTTAAGTAATTTTATTATCCATTTGCATCAGCTTTTATTTAGATAGAATCTTTAGTCGGCTTGTCGAAGATGTCTTTAGTCGGCTTGTAGGTAAATGTCGAAGAGCAATGATCTTTTTTTTATCGTTGTCGGTAAAAAAAACACATTCAACCCCCCCCCCCCCCCAGTAAAACCTCTACAGGACGTAGAGGTTTTACTGGGGGGCTTTCTTGAATGCATTTTTTACATGATTAAATTCAGTCATGGTTTTCTTTTTTTTTCTTTTTTTTTCTTCACCAGATCACATATAAAATCCTTTTGGTAGTTAACTGATTTGGTATTTTCTCAAGTGCACTGAGAAAATAGTATATTCAGAATTATTGTTTTTTTCCGGGCTCCAATCACTAAAATTTTTTCAAGACGTCTTTATTACACAAAAATACAAAATTATTTTTTTTTCCCAATAAAAAAAATAAACAACCGATGAGCCAATCGTAAGGTTCCTTTTATTCAACAAACAAAAGCAGCGCTGCGAGTTTGTTATAATGGTATGTTGAGATTATAATCATTAGTTTCCAGTAATACTGATAAAATTATTTGAAATACTAAACTCTGGCAAATAGATAAGTTTGTATCGTTGATATAAGTTACCTAAATAACTTTTTATTTATTTTTTTCAAAAAATGAAGTTTGAATTAATAATTAGAACAAGAAGACTTTGAAATATTTTTTTTGGAGGTTTAGCCAGGGAAAACTTAAGTTTTCCCAGCGGGCACAAAACGTATTTTAGACGTTTAAAAAATATTTTAATGCATTTTGATATCTTTTATAGATGTCTTTAATAGGTCTAGTATCCGCTGGGTTAGCCCTATAATATACTCTATGTTTATTGTTCTTGTATAAGAAATCTATTCTAATACTTTAATTCTTTTAAAATTATAAGATATATACAGATAAGTAATGTATTTTACCTTTCCATGACATAACGTGCCATTCTTTTAAAAATATATACGCAGGAATATTGCTGTGAAAGTACATAATATTATTAATGTTTTACTCTAAAAAAAAAAAAAAAAAAAAAAAAAAACTTAAATGAAATTTCAGAGTACATATTTCTTTTATAAATAGTTTTTAGCTACATTTTTATTGCATGTTTTTTTTTATTACGATATTTCTATATATCATTTTAATCAACTTCTTAAGCATTTACATACTTTATGAATATGAAATGAACTTTATGAACAAAATATTACCAATATCAAAATAAGTTTTTATATCGTAGATATTTCCTGTTTTTATCCTGATTTTTTTTTCAAAATACATATTATCTAAAACTAACTTTTTATTTTTATTTAAAATTTTTTATGTTTAATTTGTAAAATGTTTAAAGTCTAGAAAGATAAAAAATCAACAAACTACATTTAAAAGGTTAAAAAGTAATATTTTATTATACAAACTACAAATAAGTAATAAAATGTATTGTTAAGTAAACTATATTAATTAAATATCTTATTTAAATATTATTATCATCCAACGTATCAGCTGATGTTTTTTGAGTTCGAGCTAAAACCATCAAAAATCAATGAAATCAAATTACTTGGAAACTATTGCAACTATGCAAATAAATTTACATTTTCTTTTTCATAAAAATCTTTTTACAAAAAAATGTTTTTGATTGGCTTATAGTTTAAAAAAACCGGTTGTCGAATTTTTGTCAGTTAATGTATATAAATTTATATTTACTTACATAATCTTTAAACTATGCTAAACTATAAAAATATTCTAAACCGTATTAGTATTAAATAGTTATTGTATTTTTATATTCATTATATTTGTACAAAAGATTTACCATTTGAAACGATAGTAAAAACACATGAATAATATTGTATTGCTACGTTAAATAATTTGTTTAATAGAACTCGTCGATAACGGAATTAAAAGATAATTAATTTTCTAATCGATTTCAACGCACGTTATATTTAAAACTTAATACGCTTAAAAAGGTTGTTTTTATTTCGCTATAAAGTTTGCAACAAAATATAAATGATTTTAAAATAGTAAAGTCAACATAGTGTTTAATCAGCTTGATATTCTATAACTTTAGGTGTTAAAAGGTTATAATGAACTAAATCACTTAAGAAGTATTTAATGTAAAATAAGATATTTATCCTCAAAGCTAAAAAAATTATAAAAGTATATAAAATTTATACGATGGAAAATTACTCAATCAACAAAAAAAACTTAAAAAGGTGACAAACAATATTAAGAAAATCTTGCAAAAAATTACTCTAATGAGACAACTTAAACGAACTCCGCTGGAGTTAAGCTCTACAAAAAGTTTTCAACATTTTAAAACTTAAGGCGAGTTTTCACTCATCCGTTTTTTGAAAAATAATCACGTGGGCTTGCGTAGTATAAGTTTTAATATGTCCGAAGGAAAACTGCGCATGCTCACGTGATTATTTTTCTCTTTCCTATCCCGTTCACGGATCACCTTAAACCAAAATTAACAGATAAAAAGTATTTTTAAATAGCATTATTAAAAGTATTTTTGGCGTTCAAAAAAAAAGTTTAAAGTATTTTTTGGGGGGGAAAAAAATGAGAAATGACTTTTAATGAAAAAAAATCTTTTAATGATTAAACTAAATGAAAAATATTTTTTATTAACGGCGTGTGAGTGGGTGGGTGTCACACCCACCCACTCACACGCCGTAAAATTGCCCGTGATTTTGATTTATTGCAACCATAGACCATTAAAAATGATAGATGATCTGGCGGTATATACTTAGGTATATACCGCTAATTTATAAGAGAAGCCAAAATAAATTTTGCGCAGTGACGTCAGTTTGTGACTAAAAAAACTTTTTTACGACGAGTTTCCTCTTGCATTTATCTTATGCTTTTTGACTAAATTTAATTATGATGCATGTAACTGCACATAAAAATATTAAACTGGCATTTAACGGGTAAGAGTTTGTATACATTACAATAATAATAGATAAATCGTTTTAAAAAATAACAGTAATTGATTATATTTAGTCTTTATAAGAATATATCCCATAAAAACATATTCTATATGTTTTAAATAGAGTAAATTTTTCAAAAAATTTAATAAAAATTTTATTCCCAGCTAGCTATTCAATGTTCAAGCTTGCTTGTTGTGACGTCTCATACAAAAAAAAAATTTGTTTCAAAAAAGCCGCGTCTATCATTTTTAATGCAAAAAAATATTTTTCAAATTTTTGTAATTTTATTTTGAAAATAAAATGTCTCATGGCTATGTTATGCATTTTTCTAGTAAAAAAACTTAATTTTTTACTTTTATGAGATTTTAAAAGTTACCCTTAAAAAAAGCACGTGCACCACCATTTTAAACCTTTTTTGCACCATTATATTTAGGTGATCTAATTTTGTATCCACTCTATTTTGATTGAACCAAGTAAAATAAAATTACCCGAAGTTTTCTTGATTGAAAGATTATAGTTTTTCTAACTTTATCAGTCTCTCTGTACAACTTTGATTGTCAGTAAACACACACGCTACATCAGACTATGAGTATGCTAAAAATTGTTTTCTGCTCAACCTACCAAAGTAAATCATTCTCACCTGCAGAATGAATAAATTCTCATCCTTATCCAAACTCGTCCATGTGATTGAGAATAGATGTAGCATGTTATATTAAGTCATATTGCCGAAATTTGTTTGAAGTTTACTTGGAATCAGACTTGAACTGTTTTACGGATCCTGAACATAACCACCATAAGTTACCCATTAGATTAGAGTTAGGTTTTCACCACATGTTAATATCTGTAGCTCTTGTAAATTTTGAACATTTTATTTATTTAATATGACATCTAGGCCCTGTCATGAAAAATAAAATGGTTAAAACAAGAGGTGGGGAATGTAAATCATAATAACGATTGGTTAGGGAGTCTGTTGGATAGAGATAGATTTCTCTAACAGATATTTTAAAAAGTTATAAGACAATTCATCTTTATGATGGTACAACTCTTTTTGATAGTAGTACTCATGTGTTGGTATCTGTTTCACTTTTTTTTTTTGAAAAATTCAAAAAAAAAAAGTGAAACAGATACCAACACATGGTTTTTGAACTTATGTCAATAATTCTAATCATTTTCTTGATCAGTCAGTTATTGTTAAAAAACAAATCATGAAGTTGTAGACCAGTTTCATCTATGTTTCACATGAAATATTGATGAAACTGGTCTACAATATAACGAAAATACCAAAAAAAGTGGTTGCACCAAAAGCCAGAAAATTTCTTGATAGTTGAACAAGTAAAAATTAAAAGTTAATCACTGTAATCTGAATCTTCTTCAATGTGTATTATTTATGTTTCAATTGCAAAACAATTTACGACTAAAATACTTTGAAAATCAATTTTCCACTATTGATCACAAATACCCAACAAAGTACTCTTTTCAAAACTTTAACATTCCAAAAACTTTATTTAAAATAAATGATTTCTCTTATCTCGAGGACCGCTGCTATGGAATTCGATCCTTAAAGAAGAAATAAAAAACATGAAGTCATCAATCTCTTTAAAGCAGCTTTCAAACGGCACCTATTTAACTTAAGTGACGTCAACACCCTCTCCTACTTTTAGAGATCAAATTAATAATAACTAAAACAAACTTATCCCTTTTGGATGACCACAAACGAAGATTACATCACAATAAAAATAGTTTTTCTTTTCTATACCCGTCTATCAGATCGTTATGAACAAGGCTTTGTTTTTTACGTACAAGGCATTATAAATGTATACATGAATTAAAGTTAATTGTATGTAAAATATATAGGGTCGTTTCTACACACCGTGAGTTTAACAAAAGTTATTTTAATATTTTAAATTACTCAAAAAGTAGAATTGCATTGGAAATAAATTTTTGCAGCCGTCAATGTAATACTATTAGGGTTAGTTTAAAATTAATTTCACTCTGAAATTTATATAAATAATGTACTTACTTTGATCAAACTTTTAAAGCGCAGTTTTCCATACTTATCGTAAGTGTTTTTCCACACTTATCGTATATATTGTCGATACCTATCGTATATCATCAAATCTGCTTTAGTGTCTTGTTTATAATGCGCTCGCGGTTTCAAAGGAAAATTTAATGGATTAGCAACATTTTATTAAACGTTTTTAGGTGTATAAATAAGAAAAAAGACTATTAAATAAACATTAATTATGTAGTAATGAAAATATTATTATGAATTCAAACTAAAGATTTTAAAGGATTTTCATTACTTTAGTACATATCCTTTAAGTTCTTAAACTGGAAAGGATAGAATTTTTATCGTAACTATCTGAGTTTTGTTTTATAATTATTATCAACATTTAGATGGTTTTCTGACTCGGCCTTAAGGCTTTCTTTTTCTTTTGCAACTGTTTTTTTCTTGTTCCAAAGTTTCATGTTTTCTCTTTCTTTTTTGGTTTTTTCATTTAATAACTTTTTCTCCATAACCAATTTTTTCTTTCTTAATCTTTCTTCCTTTATTTTTGATTTTTAATCTGCAGCTAATTGTTTCTTTCCTTAACTTTTCATTCTTTATATATTACTCTTGCACTTTTGTCTTTTGAATTTCCTGCCACGTTTCAGATGTTACAACCGATGGTAAACGTTCTACTTTGAGCTTGGACATTTGGACTGGTTGTTTTGACCATATAAAAACACTTTCGATTGGATTTATAATTTTTGCTGCTATTTTTAAACTGAAACCAGTATTACCGCTCCATTATTGTAATCAGGCCTTTCCATATAGGTTTTAACATGCAGATTTTCTAAATTACAAGTTGTTGATAAATTTTTATTACCCTGTTGTATTTCATTAGATAAATTATGGTCTTATATGTTTCAGATAAGGTTCTTTTCCAAAAATGACACAACTAGAGGTATTCAAGATCACCTTTCCAAACTAAATGTTCGTCAACCATTTTAAAATGCTTTAAAATACTTGAGTCAATGCACTTTTCAATAGAGGTTATGGGAGATCAAGCTGATAAAGTCACACTAGAAAAGTTTTCTTCTAAATAAGGAGCCGGAGCAATAGTTGAA